TGTGTGTGTGTGTGTGTGTGTGTGTGTACCTTTGAAGGCGCCGCCCGAGTGGGAAGCGTCCGTAGCCCCGCGCTGTGGGATTTGTCACATCGGCTCGATGTCGCGGCGTTTTTTGTAACGGAATCTTTTCGTGCTCAAGGCACTGCGGGCGGGGGGGGGCAGTTCGGAGATCGCCCTGCTTTCCGTCCCGTGTGGAAGGCGGAATCGGGATGCCAAACTCAGGATGCCAAACTCAGGATGCCAATCAGGATGCCTGCTAGAGGATGAGACTCTTTCAATCTTATGCCTCGAGATCATTGAATCATTTTGAGAGGGAACCTCTGCAGTCATGGGTACAGTTCCCTCCTCAGAGCAGGCTGGGAGGACATGGCAAAAACCAGTTCCTATTTGCACAGTCAAGTGTCAGAGAGAACTTCAGCAGTGTTTAATTTAGTCCAACAGCTAAGCCAAGGCAGGGGAAGCTCTTTCCAGCCACTCCTCCCAGTTTTTTCACAAAACCTCTTGTCCTGTGTTCCTGCTGTGTTTAAAATTCTCAGTGCACCCAATAAGCCACCTCTCCGCATTTCACGAGTTAAACAGGATGAAAGGTTACACCAGCTCCCAACATGGAAGGGTTTTAAGTTAAACAGTATAGAAAATATTTAACTAAATGCTATTATAAGATTTTCTTAGTAGCTTATCAAGTTATACCCATCACTCAACAGACATAACATTGGTACAGATTTGGACCTAATGGAAAAAGTCTGGAGGCAAGGACTGAAGGATTGTAAGATCCTTTTCTGCAAAACTCAACCCTTTGGGGCAGAATTAGAGAATTTTTTCTTCTATTTCATTCTTACATGTGTTGCCTCCAACCAACAGTAATTAAAATATAAGAAAGGTAGATACTGGTGTGGTAATGGGGTAACTCTGGCAGTGACCAGATGCTTCAGGGAAGAAATGTATATTCCATCATTTTATATCCAATAGAGATTTTCTTTTCCCCCCCTAAGTTATCACTGAAAATTTGAGAGGCACCCCAAAATCCTGGAGGATGGAGCATTCCTGGAAGGATACCTGCAGCAGTCAGTGTCAGTCCTCTGTGAGAGCTCTGCGGGCTTAGAGGTATTTTTAAAGACTATTTTAATCTCAATTCTTTAGAACTGGAATAGAATATAAATCAAAAGGTTGGAAAGGGAGATTAATTCTGAGGCTGGGTTGTTTTTTTTTTTGGAGTCTGCCTTTTTTTTTCTAATTAACTGGGGGAGCAAGGGGACCCAACAGTTGAACCTTTAGGGTAAGGACAAGTGACATTTTTTTGGATAGTAAATACAGATGTTCAGGTAATTTAATGGAAAACAAAAAGATGGGAGATGATGTGAAAGAACTGATCAAGCATCACACAAGTCATAGGTTTATGTGGCAGGGAGAATTCTGTAAGAAATACCTGGAAAAGGGGCAAAGAGAATTTTTTTTAATTCAGCATTTCAGCCTTTGAAAGGATGGCAAGACATTGCTAGAAAACAGGGACAGTTAGAGGTGAGACACTAATCAGAGGATGATGATGAGTTTTTTCTTCACTCTTGACTGTGGTTTGTGAACACAACAATAAACACAAGCCAAGCAAAAATAATCACAAGTTTGGGTTAGAAAAGACCTTTAAGATCAAGTCTTGTGCCTAAGAGACATGAAGGTGAAAGAAATGCAAGGAAAAAAATTAAAGTCAGTGGGAACATCCCTATATGGTCTTTACTTTCCTCCTTGGAAAGAAGGAAGATGTTATTCTGCTGCTGAGTGGTACATGATCCTCACAGGGATATGAAGAAGACAATCAAGCAATGGCAGGAGGCAAAAATAAAACAAATACTTTCATTTCGAGAAAAACAAGGAAAACGTGTGACTGGTTATGTAAAATGAAGGACGTAGAAAACAGAAGGCACTTAACATTTATCTCGTCTTGCAATACAAAAATAAGGAAACAACAACCAAAATTAAGGCAACAAATGCAAAAATGGTAACTTTTAAAAAATATAAAACGTAATTGACCTGTGGGAATCGCAGTCTTGAGCTAAAACTCCAAGCTTAATAAGATACTTTAAAAATGACTACAGATACCTAGTTATGCTACTGAGAATAACATCCACATATAAAACCAGTAAAAGCCCTTGTTTGCCCGGAAAATCAACAATTTATCTGCCTGGGTGTAAAAATTAATTTGTCTTCCCGTGGATAGACTGTTCCACTTGCCCATTTAGAGCCACTTCAGGTCTTGTTCTGAAGCATCTGGTCCTCAGTCTTCTTAGATTTATGGTATCTAATTAAATTGAGTATTGATCCAAAAATCCCTCCGCTTCTAAAAACACCCCCACTATCAAGAAACGCTTAATAGTCTGACCTTTACAGTTGGCAGTTAAGATTTCAGGCCTAGAGAGACACTTTATTTTCCCCTCCCCTTAATCCATCCCAAACACACACAGACTAAGCCCAGTCACTTTGTATCCTGGGGACAGCAGGCACTGATACCTGGAATTTATTGTCATACTGTTTAACGTAAAGGGAAACACCTTGGAATTTGATCCAAGTCTCTCCATATTCTTTGACATATTTTCTTGTTCTCTGATTTAGTTCAGGTTGCTCGGGGATATTTCTGAGCCGTTTGATAACAGGCATTTCAGGAGT